TTTTGAATCGAATCGCTAAACTACTGCATGTGCATATGTCCCACATAAGGTACTAGGCACATACAAAGAATGAACGGAATCGGTCCACAGGATTCTAAAATATGACGGACAGACTGACGCACGGACACACGGACGGTCGGACGGACAGACAGACTCAGGAACTCACGGACGGTCGGGGACATGTATCCTAACATGTATGATCTATGTACTAAATTTGAATGAAAACTGACAAAGCATGTCCAAAATATTACATTTTCAAAAAACAAGATGGCTGCCAGTCGGCCATCTTTGATCCAATTGTGAAATAAATCATCATGGACATGTATCCTAACATGTATAATCTATGTACCAAGTTTGAATGAAAACTGACAAAGCATGTCCAAAATACAGCATTTTCAAAAAACAAGATGGCTGCCAGTCGGCCATTTTGAATCAAATCGCTAAACCACTGCATGTGCATATGTCCCACATAAAGTACTAGTACTAGTACTAGTACTAGAATGAACGGAATCGGTCCAAGGGATTCTGAGATATAACTCCGGACGGACGCACGGACGCACAGACGCACAGACACACGGGCACACGGACGGACGGAGACCGAATTATAAGTCCCCGTTTTCGGACTTCGTCCGAACGGGGACTAATAAAATTTTATTTCAGCATAATTTCTTGCGCCCGCCGACTTTTAAGTACAAAAAATTGCTAAAAAAACTTATTTTTATTTTAATTTTTTTTTAAGCCCGCCGCATAACAAACCCAAGTTGCATTTTCAGGGGAATATTATGATCGAAGTACCGGAGTCTTGCGCAGATGAGAAACAAGGTTATACATGGAATAAATTGTATTTCATTTCTTCTCTCTGATCAATGATCTCACTTACAATTCTTTGAGAATCACACAAATCTAATGGAAAAAAGAATTAATTTTATTTTTTTTCTGCCCTCCTCAAAAAAATTGCCTCATAAAGACTCGAGAAACAAGGAATAAAAAAAGTCTGGCTTAAGCTTCGCAAATTTGACTTAAATTCAGAACACGCGCACCCGCACCCACACACACACACACACACACACACATACACATTATTCATATCCATACATGTACCTACAACACCATCAGTATACTTACATAGTCAACAGCATTGACAATAGCGCTACTTTTCAATAATAGATCTACTGTAGCTGTTTGGCCAATCATTGCAGCATAATGTAGTGGAGTCAATTGTCCCTGCAAAACAAATACAATGAAAGAATTATTATAATAATTAACTGTCATAAGTCCAAAAACCAAATATCACAATAACAGAGAAAATGCAGCTTTCCAAGGGTGGACACTGAAGATGCTACATGTTGCAATGAGGATACTGAATTCATTGACATTGACTCAGGACAGAGACAGTAAATGTTCTGTCATTTTGTATCGTCAAAATTAACAGTCAAGAATAAATGCAGGATGACAACACATACAGAAAGTTAAAATATGACTGTTCATATGAGGAGTATATCTTTCAGCAATAAGATCAGCACTAACAAAACTAAGAATTAGTGCCCATGTTCTACAAATAGGGTCGCTACAATAAAACAGATACATGCAAAAGAAAATGCCCTGTGTTTGACCTAGACGAAATTGATGAAAAGATGAAAAGCTTTTTCTGCTAAACTGCAAATTGTATTAAAATGTTATAAACCAGCTAAAACACTGACTCAAAACAAGCAGCCTGTCGACTGAGATACATGTAGCTCGGCTGTTAGCATTGCACATTGCAATTAAAGAACTGAAGATATCATTTCAAAATGAACAATATGTATAGTATCAAAGCTACAGGACTTGCTGTTTTCAACAAGAATTCAAAAATATCACTTTTCACCGAAAATAATCATCAAAATTAGATAAGTGAAGATATCCATTTATTAAATATGCACTTAAAAAGTGTATTTCATTGCACAAAAATCATGGTTAGTACGGTAGTTTGGTTCCAGCTTTACGAGAAAACTAGCATTAATTTCAGAGTGCACGGCGGGCGAACATACATAGTTCGCACGTTTTCTATTCTGTTATTTACTCAGGATCAACCCCAATGTTGCAATACTGAAATAATCCATATTTCTTTTGAGTAGTAGTTTTCCAAACGGCAAAAATGTGATCGTCAAGTCGTGA